AAAAATGTATAAATATGCTTAATTTACTTTTTGGGGAATTCTTGATGAGTATATTTTCTAGAATATATAATTTAGTTGATGTATAATGATGCTTTTATTGTGAAAAGTAATTTGGCTTCCACTACGTAATGCGTAACAATAATATTGCCCGTATTCACGTTTAAGTTTAGATTGCAGTTCGATACGGTGGAAGCAGCACAATTTTTTGACCGATCTGTACCGAGCCTTTTATTTATTTTATTTTTCTGCAAGTGTACTTTTTTTAGTTGTTTAAGTAAATATCGTAAAAGAGAACTTGGTTTCAGTCGAGTGATTCAGATATTGGTTGCTAGACTAACTGCAAAGGTGGTACGACAAACTTTTGGGACGCAGAGTGCCACTACATTGACAATGTCATCAAAATAGCTAGCCATACAAAAGAGGCATGCATTCCGGTGTGTATAAAGCAGGCAGAAAAACGGTATCTTCTCTAAACCCACCTCCATCCACAGCCCTGCCAGCTACAGGCGAAAGGCTTCTCCCCGGTGTGCCTCCTCAGGTGGGCCTTCAGGTGGCTGCTCTTCGTGTACATCTTACCGCAACCAGGGAGAGTGCACTTGTGCATCTTGATAAGGTCCGCCACCGGGTTCTTCTGGAACCTCTGCCCCTCTGCGAGGACCCCCGGTGCCTGGCTCGCCAGGCTGTCCCTGAGACCCAGAGGTCTGGCTGCGATAGGGACCGGCGCAATGCGCACGAACTTGGAGGAGAAGTTCAGGCAGGGGGAGGGCAATACATGTGGCACCAGGGCGAAGGTCTGACCCTGGATGCTGACCAGGAGCTGTGCGATCTTAATATCTGAGGTCACCGGGGTGAGATTTGCTCTGGGGGGTTCTTGCTTCACCTGGACTGGCTGGATCTGTAAGATGACCGGCATCCCATTAGCGTCTCCCCCCGTGTCTGCTGCTGATGGTCTGTCGGTGGGGACTTTCCTGTCCCCCGTGTTTGGCACACGCACACGGACATGGTTATGTAATTCTGTTTTGGTCTCACCGGGGGCAGCAGAGTCCAGACTGGAGGTGCTGGCAGTAGGAACAGTCTGGTCTGAATACCTGGCCTCAGGTTCTAGCTTAAGTTCAGGAGGAGCCTTCCTGAACCCCTCTTGACCACCCTCCAGGTCACCACTTTCCTTTGCTCCAACTCTCAGTCCCAAGCAACTCTCCTGGATCTCTTGCTTAATCGTCACCATCTCCATATTCTCCTCCAGGAATTCCTCGATCTCTTCTAGAGTGGGCTGGAATGATCCTCCTAGCTGTTCCTCAGCCTCCACATGGGTCCAAGTGAGGAAGTCAAAGTTCCCCTCCCTTAACGGTTCCTGTTTGAAAGGCCCATTTTCCTGTGAGTCCCCCAGAAAGGCGGGGAGTGGTGCTACAGATCCCGAGGATGCGGTTGGGGCACCGGTCAGCGAGGCCTGGGCCAGCAGGCGGTCCAGAAGGCTGTCGCTGCTCTCAGCGCTGCAGGAACTTCCGCAGCTGGACCCCAGCAGCTGCGGGTCCGGGCTGGAGCAGGACCGGGGGCTGGAGCAGGACCGGGGGCTGGACGACTGGCTGGAGTCGTCCTCCGAAAACGGCGAGGGCATCGTGTGGTAGGAGCCCAGGTCCGTAACCATGTCGGACAGCGGATAACCCTGTGGACAGCCACTGAAAGACTCCTCACTCCCCGGGGATTTGTCCACCATCCCTGGCTACCGCCACAGAGTCCGGACTCAGAGTCTGGACTCAGTCTGGACTCGGAGTCTGTGTTTAGGATGATTTGGTAGAAGTTAGACCAAATAGACCGAGGTCACAGAGTCCACAGTCCACATAATGAAACACCGGGCAGGAAAAGGCAGAAGCAATCCAAGATATCCAGCCAAGATGAGGTATGTCTGAATAGAAACGAACAGAAAGCGAAACAACTCGGTTAATTTTAAATCCACAAAAAGCAACTCCATGTTTGATAGAGCCTAAAACAACCTGAGTCACACTTTATCATCATGTAAGATGATTATATATATATACATATATACATAAAAAGAGTTACTCCGATGGGTTACTTATAATGGTTCCATCTCAGATTGTTTGAAACAAACATCCACATTTGCCTTGAGAATGTATTTCTGAGATTAAAAAAAGAGGTTTTATTTAAATAAAAGGGTTTATCTCAATATTTTTTGCAGGAGCTTTTGTTATGTAATCTAGTTTTACTGTCTTATTGCTAAACTTCGAAAAAATTGAAAGTGCCCCCCCACTAGGTGGCAGTTTAACAGGTTTACAATCTCTGCCTACTTGTTTACAGAAATATAAAATAAGCTCCTCACTTCACACAATCTATCAAAATGTACCGGTTTTACGGAAACATTTAAATCCTCTTTTTCAAGTATACTTTTTAACAAGTAACACTTTTGATCCTCAAAAATGTTTTGTGTTCATTGGCATTGAATCCTCTAATTGTTGTCTTTCATTATTCCATCATTTCAATAATTAGGATGTGATCCTTCCCAGTACAATTTAGATTTATATTTCTTCTGCTCTTTTCTGTCTACCTGTAGTTTTCAAACACTGAAAAAAGTCTGATTTGTTTTTAATCTCCAATGCATTGTCTTGAGTTTACATAGGATCTTTTGCAGTTCTACAACAATAACCCACAGTTTGTTCTTTTTAAGATGTTCTGTACTAGTAATAAGACCCGGGTCAGGAACGCTTCTGTTGGCCTCATAAACGGGTTATTTTCCATGAACGAGCCTTTCCCCCCTCCTCACGCTCTCCCTCCAACCTTTCCGGGGGCCCCACAGTGGTCCGATTGACCGGGAGTAAACCCGGGCCACATAGGGAGAAAAACATCCAGGAGGAAAAACAGCGGCGTGGGGGGGGGGGGGGGGGGGGGGGAGGCCGGGGGGAGACGGTACAAGAAGCTCTTCCGAGGTCAAAAAGAGGGCGCGGGGGGGGGGGGGGGGGGCAGATGGCCCGTTCAGACCGGATCACCTGCCATCTTGTTTACAGGAGCTCAGACTGCCAAGAACTGATGCTGTTGCTATGATTTACACATGCGTGATGATTAGATCAGAGCTTTCCATAAACCGTTTTCAGACTATCAGGGTTTTTGGGCAGAAATTCCAAATGCGCACAGCCCAATAAAAACCATTCCGTGGAATATTCCCACACCAAACGGACTCAAACCAAGCCGAACCCCCTGTTCTACAGAACTGTGTGCGGCGTTGATGTGCGGGGCGATGCCTCGCGGCCACGCGCAGCCCGCGCGCCACGCGTAACGCGCGCGTAAAAACGAAAACATGTTTTCGTGGTCTGTAAACGGAGCCACGCACACCCTGGACACCAAAACAAACAGATGGACTCCACTCTTACCGTGCAGGAGAACGAGGTCCCGGTCCAGGTTGGGGGTGGGGGTGGGGGGGTCGGTTCCGGTCTTGGCGTTAGACGGTCCGGCTGCTGGCCTTCAGAGTGGTCAGCAGCAGCAGAGATGCGCCTGATCTGCGGGCTGATACTGTAACAGTGTCACATGACAGCCAGTGCGCGCGTGCAGGGGCTCACTGTAGTGGGAAACACGAGCCCCCTGCTGGAGGCTCGTCCCCGTCCCGCCTCCTGATTGGCCCGTTTCGGCCCCGGCTGGAGGCGGGTCCATCCCTCTGTCACTCCGATTCTGTCCGTGGAAAAACACGTGTGTGTCCTCTGCAGGGGGGGGGGGGGGGTTGTTTTTACAGTGTAAAACGATAACAAGGCGGGTTGAGCAGAAGTGGGTCAGAGGGATTCGGGAACGTGCCCAGTTTACCACCTAGAAGATCAAGAACAGAATAGACAACCCTGACCACTCTGTTCATGATACTGTCATTG